TGTGTGCGATCTGAAAACATGCTATGATAAAACTGTTTTATGTATGGAAACAGTTTCATTACATAAAACATTTTTAAGAAATGTCTTCTTAAAAAATATAAAATATATAACTTTCGAAAAGTGTACACACAAGTGTTGTGTCAAAGATCCTAACACTTAAACCCATTATCATTTAATCTAACCCAGTGCTGTCAATTTTTTTCATGTTGTGTCTTTGGCTTATGTGTCCTTTTTTCACTTGTTTCTTCAGGCATGAATTTCTACAACCAGTCCAACACCCAGGTGGTGGTCACCACCACTGCAATGAGTCAAAAGGCTGGGGAGTGGAGCACGGGCATCTGTGACTGCTGCTCTGATATGAACACCTGTAAGTGAACCCAGCAAACAGCTACAAACAGCAGGGATTTCTGCATCAACCACCTCCTCAGACTTTGGTTGCAGTTAGGTATCAGAGTGTCTGAAGCCAGGATATAAAACAGAAGTTACGCAAGAGATTGTTAAAGTAGAATTTATTAAAAACTGGGGTAAATTCATACAGATATGGCACATTTTCTTCAAGGTTGCTTTGGATATTGGTGTTTCCCCTGCATGCAGTGTCAGACAGCCAGTAAACATGGATGGTGCTGCGGTATGCCACTCCTGGACTGTTGCTGTGTGGTGTCCTGCTTACTTCGCAAGTCTGTCAGAGAGCGCTACAACATCCCTGTAAGTATGCGAGTGGAGGATAAGGTTATTGTATTTAGCTTAAATTAAGCTGACTACCTGTATGTACAAAGCCAACAAAAACAAAAGGTGCAAATATGACAGAGAGGGACAGGTCAGTTGGTTGTATTGTCATACAATCTACCAAAGATGGAGTGCAATTCATTATTACTTCACCCCAACATGTTTTTAAACTTCTGTTTTATGCATTTTTTAGCCACATAACATGAATTAAATCCTATATTCTGATATTGTCCTGCTGAGTGCAACTCCTTTCCTCCTCCTCATTTAGGATCTCTATGGTCGATGTAAAATTTCCATTATGGCTCTGATCTTGATTTAGAGACAAGGTGACAACTGAATAGGAAGCAGACTTTATCAAGCTGCTTGACCTTCACCATTCAGCTGTGCGTCTAGAAGACTGCTGTTAAAAATTCTAAATACATGAGAACCTCTCTTCCTCCCCTTCAATTTTCCTGTCCTGCAGGGCTCGTGCTGTGATGACTGCTGCAAAATATTTTGGTGTTATCACTGTGTCTGGTGCCAGATGAATCGTGAGCTGAAGATCAGGGAAAACCAGCACCCTGCTGCCTCGACGGTGGTCACCACGCAGGTCGTCCGTGGATAAGATGCAACCGTTTTTGTTGTGTGTTGAGTGAATATGACAGTTACCTTTTCAAACAGTATTAATTTTTCAGCACCACACAGTTTTGTCCTCAGCAATGTGTCTTTTATTTTAATTTAAGCTTGGATTTTATAGTTCTAGATTATATTTCAAAATGAGAAAATCTGAGTTCCGTTAGCATACTGGTTATTTATCATCTGGAAAACCTTTTAACTCTGTCCAATAAAATCTGTGTCATTTAACATGCTTGTTGTTATTCTAAACTTTTCAAGTTCAATTTAACCTGTATGAAAATAAATTATATAAAGACTTGGTGCATATGCAAAAACCAACTGATTCACATTCACAGATCCTTAAAACACAGAGTCGTGTCAGATCATGCACAGAAGCAGCACTTGGGCAATGTTTGGCCCCAGCAGGCTCCACTCCCTACAAATGATACATAAGTGACGTGCTACAAATTAATAATTAACCTGCTCGTCAGTGAGTACTGTTTTACTTTCCGGCTACATGTCAAGGCTACATGACAAATGATGGTTATCACACTATCAGTTTTATTATTAACAGCATCTTTATTTGCAATGAACTGGATTATTTGTTTTCTGCTCGAACCTGACTTGTAACACAGAGCAGAGCTGATTGAATCATACTTACAGTTTTTCACAGAAACAGGATGGGTGTTGGGATCGCTGTGACATATATGTGCTGCTTGACAACCGTCCGAGTAACTGTACTCCTCGCTACAAATCATCCCCCGAAACTAAGACTCCATTGATATAATAGTTTTCGAACTGAATTGAATTGACAGTTTTTGTTTGCTATCATGTGACAGCTTCGGTCTGAGTTTTGAACATGTATTTTTTTTTCGGGGGTTGAAGAAATTATGTTATGTCTGATTAATATTTAAACCTGCACCATGGCGTGTTCTCAGTTTGCTTGTTACTTGATGTTTTTTTTTTATTAATAACTTAGAAAAAATAAAAAAAACCACTCTAAATAATAATGTACAACACAATCTTATAATGCGCTGGGAGCAGTGTTGGTCAAGTTACTTGAAAAAAGTAATCAGTAACTAATTACTGATTACTTCCCC